AAATAAATATAGTAATAATAAGTATAGTAATAGCTATAGTAATAATAATAACTATAATAAGGACTATTAACTATTAACCCTTAGGTATACTCTTTTTATAATAGCTATAATAGCCTTATAGAAGCCTAAGGTATATAGTTAAACTAGTTAACTACCCTATTAACTTATAATATTTTAAATAATTACTGTATAATAATTATTTCTATTATTAGGGGGGCTAACATAGTTAAATAGGTAATAAATTTAATAACTAACTAAGAGCTAGAGCTATAGCTAGTAATAGCTAGTCTTATAGACTAGCGACAGGTAGGGCCTAGTAGGGCACTAGCTATTAGTAGGATATTAGCCTAACTAATAGATCTATTAGCAAGGCTAAGGAAGTAGATCTAAAGGTTAGCTATATTGTCTTATAACAAGTGCCCCCCTAATAATAGAAATAATTATTATATAGTAATTATTTAATATTACTAGCTAATAGGGCAGTTAACTATATACCTTAGGCTTCTATAAGGCTATTATAGCTATTATAAAAAGGGTATACCTAAGGGTTAATAGTCTTTATTATAGTTATTATTATTACTATAACTATTACTATATCTATTATTACTATATTTATCTCTATAGTTATTAAAGTCCCTATATCTATTAGTGTTATCTTTAATAGTGTTACTATTATTATTACTACTATAGTCCTAGTTATTTTTACTAGCTAGGTAGTTAGGTTAATAGTAGTTAGGTTAATATACTAGTTAGTTAGGTATATACACTAACTAACTATAAGTTAGTTAGCTATAAGTTAGCTAGTAAGGTATATATAAGTATAAGTATAGACTTTAGGCTAGTTAACTATAAGCTAGCTAGCTAAGTGTATATATAGGCTATTAATATATAGGCTAGTTAGTTATATATATAGGCTAGTAGTATTAATAGTTATATACTAGCTAATAGAATACTAGCTAGCTATAGGTAAGTTAGCTAAATACTAGCTAATTATAGGCAAGTTAGCTAAAAGTAGGCTAGCTATTAGCTACTAGCTAGCTATTAGATTTATTAAGGTTATAGTAATAATCCCCTATATAAATAAATCTATTATTATTATCCTAGGGACCTATCTCTATAGTATAACTAGTAGTATTATCTTTTTCCTTATTATCTTTATCTAAGGTATTTTAACTATAGTACTAGGTAGCTTTATAAAGTAGTAGTAGTAGTAGTAGTAGCTAGTAGACTTAGTGTTAAAGGGACTAGATTTTCTCCTCTTGTTCTTAAAGGCGCTAATAGATAGGTTTACCTCCTAGTAGATAACCTCCTCTAAATCTAGGGTGTATTTAATATAGCTTCTAAAGGTATAGCTAGGTATATAACTTAAGGCTATATTAGGCTATTAGTTAGGTGTATACTAGTAATAGTGTTAGTAGTAGTAGCTTTAAGTATTTTACTACTAGCTAAGGGTTTTATATATCTTTTACTTATTTATTTTTCTATTAGACTATATCCTTTTAGTTCTAGATTAGTATTATTCTTTAGGTAAAGGCTTTAATAGTAGTATAAAATTTTATAGCTAAGAAGAAGGTTAGTACTACTAGTAATATAGACTATTTACTTATAAGTAAAGAAAGTAGTAATAAGATAGTTATTATTAATAGTAGTAATAGTAAAGTTAATAATAAAGGTAGTAAAAGCTTTAAAGGTAAAAGTAATAAAGGCTAGTAGTCTAGTAAGTAATAAAAAAAAGTATTTTATAATATAAAGTTTTAATAGTAAAGTTAGTAGTAATATTATTAGCTATAGTTATTAGTATATATATAGTAAAAAAGCGTAGATCTTAAAGGAAATCTAGTACTATACTTATAGTAAGGCTTTAGCTAGTAACTTTATTACTATTATTACTAATATTACTATTTAAGGGCTTTAATTAATAGTAGCTTTAGTAGTAGTAGCCTTAATATCTATAGAAGTAAAATAACTAATATAAAGAAGTATAAAGAAAAGTAAAAAAAGTTAGGTTATTAAATTAAAGGTTAGTAATAGTAGTAACTAGAGGTGTAGTAGATCTAGCTAAATAGGTTAGTCTAGTATAGGCTAGTAGTAGTAAAAAAATCTACTAGTAGGTGTATATTAGTAGCTAGGCTAATAAAGTAAATACTTTTATTTAATTAGTTACTTTTAAGATAACTAATTAAATAGCTCTTAATAGTAATTTAGTGTATTTACTTTTTATTATTATTAATAGTAGTAAAAGGTTAATTACCTATAGTATTATAACTAGTTATACTACTACTTAACATAGTTAAATAGGTAATAGATTTAATAACTAACTAAGAGCTAGAGCTATAGCTAGCAACAGCTAGTCTTATAGACTAGCGACAGGTGGGGCCCAGTGGGGCACCAGCTGTTAGCAGGATATCGGCCTGACCGATGGATCCACCGGCAAGGCCAAGGAAGTGGATCCGAAGGTCGGCTACATTGTCCTGTGACAGGGGCACTTGTCATAGGACAATGTAGCTAACCTTTGGATCCACTTTCTTGGCCTTGCCAGTGGATCCATCGGTCAGGCCGATATCCTGCCAACAGCTGGTGCCCTACTGGGCCCCACCTGTCGCCAGTCTATAAGACCGGCCGTTGCTAGCTGTAGCTCTAGCTCTTAGTTAGTCATTAAATCTATTACCTATTTAACTGTGTTAAACTAGCCATAGATATATTAGTAGGCTATTTATTAAACCTTAGCCTAACTAATATATAAATATTATCTCTTACTAGGCTAGCTAGTCTAGTATATTAAGTTAAACTCTTATAGTTTATATATATCTATATTAAACTATTTCTTCTTTTTATATATATAGTAAATAGTCTACTAAAGTAAGTAGCTTAGTTATTTTCTAAATATTATAGGTAGTTCTACTGTCTATTTATTATACTATTCTTACCTTATTAGTCTTAGTTTTCTATCTAAAGCTATTAAAAAAGGAATCTAGTATAGAGTAAAGATATTAAATAAACACTTAGGTTAAAAAAGAAAAACTATATCTCTTATAAATAATAATAGAATTTAAAATAAAGAGTAAGAGAACTAATTAAATATAAGAAATAAATTAGGTTACTATAATATAATAGATAATAGTTCTTTTATTATTTAATAGAGAATTATTTCTTAGTATATTAGTATTATAATTAGGTATTCTTTAGTAGTATTATCTACTATAGAGACACTAAGGCTTAATACTTAGTTATAGTAATTTAAGTCTTACTAGTCTATTAGTAATCCTACTATTTAAGGTATATAGTAATTAATTATATAACTAATAAAGATTTATAGCTTAAGTATTTAAATATAACTTAAGAATAAATAAAAGCTTCTTATATTAAGATAATATAAAAGTTATAAAGTTAATTACTAAAAAGCTATAGAAGTCTATCCTTAAGTACTTCTAAGTCTATCCTATATATAAGTCCTAATTCCTATTAGTATACTTAAGGCTAATATCTTAATGTTAGTCTTTTATTATAGACTACCTTTAGTATATTAGTCTATATTTTAGGACTACTTATTATTTATTAGTCTTTTTTATTTATATATAACTTATACTATAGTTCTTTTAATCTAAGAGGTAAGTCTAATATATTTTTATATAGTGTGTATATATCCTTAGTAGTAGCTACTAGGCGCCTATAGAGTAACCTTAGCCCTTTTATACTTATTAGGTTATATTAATTAGCTAGTAATTAGCTAGTATTTACCTATATACTCCTAGTTAATCTACTAAGAATTACTAAAGAATTATTTTCCTAATTCTCTAATGATTTCCTTAAAGCTTTATAATAATAGCTAGAAAACTCTTATTAGCTATTTCTTAGAGAATAAGTAAGTAAATATATAATACAAAAGGGTATCTTAATATATATATTTTTTACCTATACTAAAGTGTAATAGTTACTTACTTTAGTAGACTATACCTTAGCTTTACTTTATATTAGCCTCTATATATACTTATTAATAGGGTTTATAGGGGTCTATATATAATAAAATATAACTATACTTTAGACTATAATATTCTTACTATATTTCTTACTATCTTATTAATTCTTTTACTACTCTTCTATTGCCTCTTTTCTAACTGCTTACTACCTTATTTAAAACTTTCTATATTACTTCTTTTTACTCTAAAATCTGCTCTAGATCTTAAATATTTAGAAACGTATATTAAGTTAGATATAGTAAATATCTACTACTATGTATTTTCAAAAGATTTATACTACCCTTCCAGCACTTTAATATCATAGTTTCTTAAAAGTAGTTTCCTCTAGTACTACGAGTTCAGGTCGGATTAGGCGCAAATAGCTCAGATTTTAAGACATAACCTATTGCTAGGAGTGACCTGTTATATAGGAAGGGAGCTCTTAACTACCTTCAAGATACAGCTTAGTAGGCCACTTACCATGTACATACGTTAGCATATTCCATAAAAAGGTTTCAAGGTATAATAAGAAGGTGACTTGTTCGCCTGTGTGACCCGCTGTCTAGTGAACTCTGTTAATCCCTACATATTAACAGGGGTTGCTACGCCGAGCTTTCCGAACTCCGGAGCAGCCTTCCTTGGACGCTAATAATGAGTTCTCCGCCCGGAAATCCGCGCCTAGGATGCTACTACACGCGGGTTCCAAACATTTCCGTCAGTCCTACAAGCAGTAAAAGCTTTACCTCATAGAGCAGCTGCGTCTTTTGCAACCTACGTTGCCATCCATAACTCGCAGGATTAGGCGAAACTTAATTGCGGTCCTGGATTTGCGAGTTCCTTCGATGGCAGATGCAGAGGGGGAGTTTTTTGGGTTGGATTGTCCATTGTTCAAGACTACAACGGTATCCTTATATTATCAATCATATCATCCTGTTCATTCATTCATGTATCAGTCCATTATATGAGCCATACTCACAGCCAGTGCCTTTTCTCTTCCCAAACTACTGTCTACCATCACACCTTGTCCCGCCATCTGCAGACGAGATGACGTCCCCGATTGCCGTAGTTGGTATGGCATGCCGCCTACCTGATGATGTCTCGTCCCCGGAGGAGCTTTGGAAGGTGATTTTAGAAAAACGAGGTTTGTCCCTCGCGCCGGAGGTGCTTACGGCCCATGACTGATACACACGTGCAGACACCTGCTCCGAGCCGGTCGACAGATGGAACCCCGGTGGCTTCCACGATCCCGGGGGGAGCAAGGCTCATTCAACGGCGTCCAGAAAAGCGCATTACATGACCAGGGACGTCATGGCTTTTGACGCGGCGTTTTTCAACATCAACGCCGTCGAGGCGTTGTCGATGACTCCCGAGCAGCGCATTGTGATGGAGGTTACCTACGAGGCTCTGGAAAGCGCCGGTCTGACTTTAGATGACGTTGCCGATTCCAGAACCGGCTGTTATATCGGGACCGGTGGAACCGAATACCGCCCTATAATCGACATGGACACGGAGATAGCCCCCCGCTACAGCGCCATCGGCTTGGCCCATGAGGTATTGCAGCCTATCTATCATCCAAGGCTCGAAGCCACAGATCATGTTCCAAATCATGCTGACCAGGGATAGATGCCCGCAAACCGCGTGTCCTGGTTTTATAATCTGAAGGGCCCAAGTCTGACGCTCTCGACAGCGTGCAGCTCCAGCATTACAGCAATTCATACGGCGTGCCAAGGACTGATTTTGGGGGAGACAGACATGGCTGTGGCAGGGGGTGTAAACATGATCCTGAACCCAACCATGCTGGTTTACCTCAACATGATGGGTATGACCTCGCCAGAGGGCCATTGCAAATCGTTCGACGCGTCCGCCGATGGGTACAGCCGTGGTGAGGGCTGTGGCATCGTGATACTCAAGCGGCTCGACGACGCCATCAGAGACAACGACCCCATCCGCGCCGTCATCCGCGGAACCGGCGTCAACTCGGACGGGTATACCCAGGGCTTCACCATGCCCAGCGCGGAGTTCCAGGCTGCACTAATCAGGGAGGTGTACCGGAAGGCGGACCTGGATATGGCCGACACGCAACTTGTCGAGTGCCATGGCACCGGCACCAAGGTGGGCGACCCGATAGAAACCAAGGCGATTTACGAGACGTTGGGCCGAAAGAAGAGTCACGCGCAGCCACTTGTTATAGGGAGCGTGAAGCCCAATGTATGTCTCCTCTCCTCCCATTCATACCTCTGAGCAACTCGGTGTGTTCGGCTTCACTAACGTCACGTCCCGTGCTAGATTGGACACCTGGAAGCCGCATCGGGCGTTGCGTCACTTATCAAATCGATATTGGCCCTGGAGAAGGGCCAAATCCCTCCGCAGGCTTTCTTCACCACCCCGAACCCGTCGATTCCCTTGTCGGAGTGGAACCTAAAAGTGCCAACGACGCTGATGCCTTGGCCAAGCACAAAAGGCGGCCGCAGGCGGGTAAGCATCAACAACTTTGGCGTTGGCGGGACGAATACGCATGCCATTCTCGAGAGTGCGCCCCCGCGCGGCATCCAAGCCCCCGCGGCCAAGAAGAAGCGACTCTTCGTGCTGAGCAGCCAGGACCGCAACGGCATGGTGCGGGTGGCCCAATCCCTGGCTGGCTACCTGGGCAAACACGCCGCCGCCGCCGCCGGTAGCTCGGCTGCGCATGAGGCCAGTCTTGCGTATACCCTTGGGTCCAAACGGTCGCGTCTGCCGTGGAAAACCTTTTGCGTTGCCAGTGGATCAACCGATCTGCGGTCTGGCCTCCTCGCGGTGACGGGCGACGAGGCCATCAGGTCCAGCGCCACGGGACGGATCGGGTTTGTCTTCACGGGCCAGGGGGCCCAATGGCCAAAGATGGGTCTCAGATTACTCGGTACGTTTGTTCTTGTTGCTGCGTGGCCATCCCTGTCATGTTACTTGGAGTTATGATGATGATGACCGACGGCTTCTGATTGACTGCTTCCAGAATTTGACGTGTTCAGACGCACCTTGGAGAAATGCCAGGAGTACCTGAACGAGCTGGGCTGCTCTTGGGACGCCGCAGAGGAACTGGGCAAGCCGACGGAAACCAGCCTGGTCACAAGGCCCGAAATGAGCCAGCCACTGTGCACGATACTGCAGCTCGGCATCGTCGACCTCCTGGACTCGTGGAACATCTCGCCCACCAGAGTGGTGGGTCATTCGAGCGGCGAGATAGCAGCGGCGTACTGTGCCGGCTTCATCACGGCGCGAGAGGCCGTTGAAGTGGCCTACCGACGTGGCGAGCTGTCCGCCGCGCTCACCAGTGGCACACATAAAGAGAATGCCGAGGGGGGGGGCATGCTCGCGGTTGGCTGTTCGCGCGAGAAGGCCGAGAGGTTGATCGCAGAGGTAACCACAGGCTATCTTACTGTTGCGTGCGTGAATTCGCCGTCCAACGTCACGATATCAGGCGACGTGGCTGCTATCGAAGAACTACACAACATGCTCAAAAAGACGTCCATGTTTGTCGCCCGTCTCAAGGTCGAGGTCGCCTACCACTCGGAACACATGCAGGCCATCTATCCCGACTATGTCCGGTCTATTTCGCACATCCGTCCGTCCGGCACAGGCAGGGAACATGTAACCATGGTCTCGAGCGTGGTCGCCGCAGAGTTGGACGCCCAGGCTGTGAACGGCTTCTATTGGGGCCGCAACCTGGTCTCGCCCGTCTTGTTTTCCGACGCGCTGGCGGAGTTGGTCAAGCCGGCCGACGGCGGCCCGGCCTCCTCGGTGGACCTGCTGGTCGAGATCGGACCGCACGGCGCGCTCAAGTCGAGCGTCCAGGAGATCCTCGCGGACAAGAACGTCAAGGACGTTGCGTACATGTCAAGCTTGTCCCGCGGCAAGGATGACCAGGCCTCTTTGTTAAGCCTGGCCGGTAACTTGTTTACGTTTGGGGCTGCCATCGACATTTCCAGAGTCAATAACGACGGAGAACCCGTGCCCCTCCTCACCGACCTGCCGCCGTACCCCTGGCAGCATTCCAAACGCTTCGACGCCGACACCCGCATACATCGTGAGTACGCCATGCGACCCTATCCGGCGTCCAACTTGCTGGGCGCACCGATGCCTTCGGTTGGACCAAAGGAACACGTCTGGCGTGGTTACCTCCGCGTAGACGAAGAAAGGTGGGCGAGCGACCACAAGCTCTCTGGTATGGTCTTGTACCCTGCCGCCGGATTCGTGGCCATGGCCTTGGAGGGCGCTCGCAGACTGGCTGATGCTGGCCGCAAGATACGTGTCCTCAAGCTACGCGATGTGGTCTTCGGCCGGGTCGCCATTGTTGGCCAAGAGACGCCAACCGAGTTTGTCCTGCACATCCGGCCACCCATGCTCGGCGGCAACTCGGCGGCGGCTTCGGGCACGACTGGGTGGCTCGAGTTCAGGATTTCATCTTCCGAAGGGCCCGACATTGCATTACGGGAGAACTGCCACGGCCTCGTACGCATCGAGTATTACGCAGGCACCGACACCGATCACACATATGAACAAGAGGCAACGGACCGGGAGGAGAAGGCCATCTTCGCATCTTCCCTGGCCGCGTACGAAGCCGCGGTGGCCGCTTGCCAGTATAAGCTGCCGGTCGACGACTTCTACCGGGACGCCGCCGAAGCCGGTTTCCAGTTCGGCCCGTCCTTCAAAAACCTGACCGATATACACTTCCGTCCTGGCGAAACTGTTTTCGAGATGCACATCGCCAACCCGGGTAACACCCCTGGCACAGGACAGCCCGGGAACCGGCCACACCTAATTCATCCCACGACCCTGGACACGATATTGCAGACCCCGATCGCGGCCTCGTACCGAGGTAGACGCCTGCCCGTCTCTGAACTGATGATCCCCACGTCCATTCAAGAGCTCGAGGTCTCTCCCGATTTACCCTTCGACGCCGGGACGCCCTTGAAGGGCTTTACCACGTTCAAACCCCACAGGCGTGATGAGCTGCACACGACGATGGACGTGTTCGACGAGGGATTATCGCAGCCCTATGTCAGAATCCGTGGTTATCGATGTATGATCCAGGAGGGTGTTGCCATCAACACCACCACCAGCGATGGTAATGCTTCCGATACGAAGCCTGGATTGTGTTACTCGACGCGGTGGAAAACCTCCTTTAACCTCCTTCATACAGAGAGCGAGCTCACGAGAGCGGTCGCAAGTGCGGGCCAGACAGCCAACGACAAGCTGGTGGAGATTGCGAGCATGATCCTTCACGAGTCTCCCAACACCACTGTTCTGGAGGTCCTGACCGCAAAGGACGGAAGCGGTACAATAATGTCCAGGGTTGTCCCGTCGTGCCGGCCGCAGCAGACAAAGTACGGTGCTCTCGCCGGATCGCCCATCCCTGCTGTCGTGGACGGAGAGGTCCTAGATCTGAAGTTTGGCGAGGCCGTGGCCCCAGAGGCCCGTTTTGATCTCGTCATCTTGGGTCAGGACTACCGCGAAAGTCCCGACGTCCAAAACGGCTTGCATCATCTTTTTGACCATGTAAAGCAAGGCGGCCGCCTTATTTGTGGCTTTGACTACGACCAGTTAGGCGGTCCAGCGCCCAAAAGCTCCCAGGCTCGCGTCCTGGGACGTGGCAGCGACTCCTCTGTCACCATCTTTTCTGCCCCGACATTGGCCAGCGAGCAGCACGTTCCCGACGCCGACGATGGAGATGCCGCCTCCGTCATGGAAAAGGTGCTTGTCCTCCAGCCACCAGCGCCAACCGCGGCTGTTCAGTCCTTGTCAAACGAGCTGGTCGACATCCTTCAAAGTCAGGGACTCCAGGCTGATACCGTTACCTGGACGGAACTGGCCTCGGCAGTATCTGCGAATCACGTCGTCGTCAGCTTGCTCGAATTAGACAAGCCATTCATGGAAAACCTGTCCAGTTCGGATTATCGCCTTGTCCAAGACCTGATAATCAAGTCGACCACTCTTCTGTGGCTAACTGCGCTGGGCGACAGCAGCCCGTCTGGTTTCATCATTGACGGCGCCATGCGCGTTGCTAGACGTGAACTCGGCAACTACAAACTCAAGATTTTGCACCTGTCTTCGCTCAAACACGGGGCTTCCCTCGCGGCCAAAGTCTTGGCCAGTGCCCAACCGGAAACCGAGTTCCTTGAAGATGGCAATGGTCTACTCCAAGTCGGTCGGGTCTTTGAGGACCGTCAACTCAACACCGAGATTGCATCGTACGCAGGGACCGGCACCCACATGGAGTCAATTCAGAGCTGTGGATTCCCCGTCACCCTCGACGTCTCTAAGCCTGGAGTTGCCGATTCTCTGCACTTCAGGCCAAGAGAGAAACAGCCTCAACTTGGAGAGAATGAGGTCGAGATCTCTATAAAAGCATCTGGAGTGAAGTGAGTTGCCTACCGTAAAGACTCGCGTGCTTGTTACTATCATCCGTCTACTTATGGTTACTGACGTACCTCTTAACTTTACTAAAATAGTTGCCGGAATGTCGTGATTTCATTAGGTCTAACCGTTGGTTTTCAGCCCGGATACGAAGGTGCAGGCGTTGTCCTAAGGACAGGAAGCAGAGTTACCAGCGTTAAATCTGGCGACCGCGTCAGCGCACACATTCTTGGTTCCTCCCACACCACCGTGGCCCGCACGCTCGACGTCATGTGCGCCAAGATGCCCGATAACATGTCCTTTGACGAGGGCGCAGCGCTACCTGTGGCCTTCACAATTGCCTACCACGCGCTTGTGGACGTCGCTAGGCTGCGCCCGAAGCAATCGGTGCTCATTCATGCCGCAGCAGGTGGTGTTGGGCAGGCTGCCATCCAGATAGCACGGCATCTAGACCTCACCTTGTACGTGACGGTTGGATCGGATGACAAGAAAGCCCATGTTATGAAAGAGTACGGCTTACTGGAGGACCACGTCTTCGACTCGCGTGGCGAAAGCTTTGCCCTGGGTGTCCAACGCATCACGGGTGGCCGCGGAGTTGACTGTGTGTTGAACTCTCTCTCGGGCGAACTCCTCCGTCAGTCACTGGTAATAGCCCTAACCCAGTTCTCTGTAACGACCAAACTAACGTCAAGCAGTCCTGCCTCGCGCCTCTTGGCACATTCGTCGACTTGGGCAGTCACGACATCAGCGAGAACACCAGTCTTGGCATGTCACCCCCCGTTACTTCTGGGACCACCTTCAGCCGCCTGAACCTCGACTTGCTGTTCAATAACCCCGACCTTATGGCGGAAACTTGGCGCAAGGCCTTCGACCTGATCCGAAACGGGGTGGCGCATGCTCCAACGCCGTTGGTGGTAAACCCCATCCACAAGGTCCAAGACGCCCTCCGGCTCGTCCAAAGCGGCAAACACTACGGCAAGGTTGTGCTATCTTTTGAGCAAGATGGCCAAGTGCCGGTGATGCGGGGCCCTGAAGCTGGAGCTGCCCTGCAACTCGACTCGTCTGGCACGTATTTGCTGGTTGGTGGCCTGGGAGGTCTGGGCCGGTCCCTGGCGCAGATGCTTGTGGATTGTGGTGCTCGCAATATAGCCTTCATCTCACGTTCCGGAGCCGTGTCGCCGTCCGCCAAAGCTGTTGTCGAATCGCTCTCCTCACGGCCTGGAGTGAGCGTCAAGGCCTACGCCGCCGACGCTACCAACAAGAAGTCGCTTGACGCCGCCCTGGAGAGCTGTAGGAGTGAGCTGCCAGCAATCAAAGGCGTCGTACAAATGGCCATGGTTCTCCGCGACGCCGTGTTTGAAAACATGAGCTTCGACCAGTGGACGGGAGCAACTGGGCCAAAAATTGAAGGGACTCGGAACCTACACGAGTGTTTTGGCCCAGCCCACCACCCCCTGGACTTTTTTATAATGTGCTCGTCCTTGTCCGGCGTCATCGGCAACCGCGGCCAGGCCAACTACGCAGCCGGGAACACTTACCAGGATGCCCTGGCGTTCCACCGTCGATCCCATGGCTTGAGAGCCTGTGCCGTGGACCTGGGAATTATGCGCGACGTGGGTGTACTGGCCGAGACTGGAACGGCTGGTGATTTGACTGGTTGGGAAGAACTCCTTGGTATCAGAGAGACCACGTTCCATGCGCTCATGAAAACTATCATCAACAAGGAGCAGCAACAACGCTTAGATGGCAACCAGGCGTTGAGTTCCCCCGCTCAGGTAACCGTCGGCCTGGCCACCGCCCGCGTTTTCCAAGCAGCCGGGCTTAACCTGCCGGACTGGCTGACTGAAGACGCGCGCTTCGGCCACCTATCAGCTATTCGCTATGATACGGATACTGCCGCGGACAAGGACAACACAGACGTGGCCAAAGAAACAATCGCCTCGTTGCCGGCGAAACTCGCGACCTGCAAAACCCTCGACGAGGCCTTGGATGCAATGGTCGGCGGGCTGATTGAGAGGGTTGCCGGCATTGTATCGATTCCCGTTTCCGAGGTCGATTCCAACAGGCCCATGTACAAGTACGGAGTTGACTCCCTGGTGGCAATGGAGATCAGGAACTGGATCCAACGGGATATCAAAGCAGACATTTCCCTTTTCGATGTTTTAGAGGCGGTACCTCTAACCAAGTTCGCAGAAAAGGTGGTTTCAAGGACTAAGCTTTGTAAGATTTAATTCTAAGGTGATGACGAAAAAGGATTCGTAGTGGGAAATATACAGTGCCTAAACTGCAGGTATTACGCTACTTATTACTAAACAAATACATATGCTAGGGTTAAAGACAGCCCTAAGCTCCTATGGATCCTACTTAAGTAAGTGAGGTCTGTCTACTAAGAAAGTATGGTAATTCTTCCTTAGATACTTCTAGGAATTAAACCTAGGACTTCCAGTATAAACCTAGGCGTATATAAAAGAGTAGTCTTTCTCTACTAGTCCATGTCAGACTGTTAATTGTAGAATTCAATAAAGTACGTATACTATACGTATATCTATAAAACGATTTGTTTCTTTTACTAACCCTGCCCCGCCCGCGCAGCCTCTTACTATGGCTTGACTTTATGGCCAAGGCTATAAGCGAATTAGTCAGCCTAGAGTGATCTGTAGCTCCGACTTTACAGCAGGCGTTCCGCTCGCGCGTAGCCGATATTGTTAGGCTTGCTTGCTGGCTCTACTTCGCTCTATAATGTAACAGTTTACCCCCCCCATAAACTGTAAACCTGCTAGGCTAACCTTCCCCTAAACTATAAACCCCTCATGGTACTTTGGTTGTCCTAGGGCTCTATTATCTTGCTAGTATTCCGAGGGAGAATGAAAGTAGAAGAACCAGACGGACAAAAACATAAACCCGGGAACCCGAACCCAAGAATAATTAATTAAAGTTTCATATGGCCCGCCCTTTTATAAATCCCTAGGTACAATCCCACACATTATGTCACGAACACATCTATACAATGATCTACCGTCTAAGTCAAACCAGGCGTGGCTTCCCTTCTATTAACCTCTCCTAATCCTTTTGATAACCTCAAGTCAGACCTTATCCTATTTCACGCCGTCCCTAGGGTTAATCTGAATCAGCCTCCCTACTTAAACCCTAGCCATCGAACCTAACTATCAGACTGAAAGATGGTGCTCCCCGACGGTCGGTCCCTTGACGGCAACGAGGCCATCGACACCACCGCCGCCGCCGCCGCCGCCGCCGCCGGCAGCCACTTCACAGCACACAGGGGCGCTGGTCCCCTTCTCGGAGTGGCGGCTATCCTTTTTCTCTACCTTCTCTACAAGCGCTCATTACCGAAAGCAATCCCCGGAATCCCCCACAACGCCGCCGCCGTCGCCTCCATCCTAGGCGACATCCCCTCGTTCCAAGAGGGCATCCGCCGCACCGGCGAGCTCAACCTGTGGCTCCTCGAACAGGCCGACCACTTCGCCTCCCCGCTCTTCCAAGTCTTTATCAAGCCCTTCGGCAAACCTATCGTCGTTCTCAACGACTTTCGTGAGATCCGAGACATTATGATGCGCGGTAAAGAATTCGACCGCTCCTCCATAACCGCTGATTACATGGAGGGCTCCGCCGGCAAACAACATACCCACATGCCCACAGGCCCCGAATGGAAACAGCACCGCCGCCTTCTGCAGAACATCATGTCCCCTCAGTTCCTTAATGATGTTGCCGTCCCGACGATCTTCGACAGCGCGCTTCGCCTCATACGCTTGTGGGATGACAAGGCCCGCATTGCCGCCGGCCATCCCTTCCCTGCGGAGATGGATATCCACTATGCCACGCTGGATGCCGTCATGGCCTTCACGTTCGGTGGCGACTTTGAACACAGGGCGACGCAGCCGACTATAGAGCGCCTGCAGGGTCTGGGTGCTGAGGACGTCAAGCGTCTTCTGAGTGGTGGCGGCGGCGGCGGGGGCGGCGGTGCCGATAAGGACAACGATGCGCCGGTTATGTTTCCCAAGGGGGATGTCGACGAGAGGATTCAGGCAACGCTCTATATCCCCGCGTCCGCTTCGCAGCTGCGAGAGTCACCCATGCCGCGACTCAAGTGGTGGTTCGTCCAGAAAAAAGCAGCTGTGCGTCGGGCGTTCCGTATTAGAGACATGTTTGTTAGCGAAGAAATTAGTAAGGCGCTGAAGAAGCTACAAGATGTCGGCGTAGGGGAGAGAAGGGTCCACTCAGCCGTCGAGCTGATCGTGTTACAGGAGAAGAAGATGGCGGAGCAGGATGGCAGGGCGCCCTCCTACTTTTCCGAGATGATGATTCATGAGGTGAGATTTCAATACCCATGATCACCCCCCCCCCCCCCCCCCCCCCCCCCCCCACTCCCTAATGCCTAAACCAGATGGAGAGAAAACCAATATAACGAACGGACGAACTGGTTCTACTAACACACGAAACAATCAAGATCTACGGCGTCATCATCGCAGGCCTCGATACAACAAGCACAACTATGTCCTGGGGCGTCAAG